TTTGACATCTCTCATCTAGACAATCAACAAAACAATAAATCTAAACCCTAACTTTGTAGCATTCTCTGATTTCCAAAGTGTAAACGCTCACACTGAAAATCCAACGATCCATCTCCCCAACCTGTGTGAGCTGGCTCCAGCACATCACTTGAAGGGTTTTGGGGGGAAAGCTCAAACAAGTCACTGCCTTTACTCCGCCATCTTGGCTCCCCCCCCCCAGCACCCACCACTTGAGAGAGGGAGGTGATGATTCAATCATTCGGGAACTAGTCAGTTTAAGTCACCTGGAATCAGGAACAAAGTGTGACAAGAAGAAGATGCAGAGGGAAAGAGCTTGACGCTCCTGATGGAATTCCTTGTGGAAACCAAACTAAAACAGAGTAGAAATAACAAAGGCTATATCTGACACCATCAGATTTTTTTAAATTTGTTAATTTAGTTGAAGAACTTCCTTTAGTGAGGTTACAGTCTGTAAAGTGCCATCTTCTCTGTTAGGCCTTCCCTGATCCCATCTCCCAGCCCCAACCTCATCCCCAGCTTCTAGTTTAGTGCCACTTCAAAAAAAATTACTTCAGGGACACCTAGTGGATAGAGCACCAGCCCTGGAGTCAGGAGGACCTGAGTTCAAATCCAGCCTCAGACTAAACACTTTGACGCTTACTAGCTGTGTGACCCTGGGTGAGTCACTTAACCCCAATTGCCTTAAAAAAAAGACCAAAAAAACCCCCCAAACCGGTCTGATCATCTTTAACACTCAATAGATTAAATATTAAAGTCCAACCCCAAAGGTAGAAATAATTCCTATGTAGCCTGTCTAGCAACTTCCAGACAGGAACATTTGCCCTTCTGTACTTTCCACAAGTTTTAATCACTGGCAGCTAAGTGTTAATTCTATTTTTTTTGGCCATGGGCATGAACACTGGACAAATAAGAGGCCTCAGTAAGCAGAAACAGAGCAGTCTTTTTCAGGTGAAGCTTGAAACTTACAGCAGACAAGGCTGCTCACTGCTTTCCTTCTCCAAAGTGAGGTTTGTTTGGTGAAGTTCACTTTATTTTCCCCCTAAGAGGCAATGGCATGCCCCAAAATATGCTGCACAAAATTCATCCATCTACAATCATTAGGGCTTCCTGCTCCAAAAGACCCTCCATGTCTTCCTTTGCCGGTTTATCTGCTTCTGTGAAGATAACACCCAAATCCTGAGATTCCAAATTTCATATGAAAGAAATATGGCCCCTACAAACTGACCCAGAAGAAAAACGGGGCCCCTGACTTTCACTAAAGCCCGTGGAATGGAGCACTTGGCAAACGCTGCCGACTAACAAAGCCTTCTGAGGCAAAAAAAAAGAAAAAAAAGATTCATATCCTGAAAATCTGTTTGGTTTTTTTTTTCCTTTTTTGTTCCCGGAGGAATCAATGAAATGAATCAAACTTTTCTTAAAAACTAATTTTAAAAGGAGCACGCACAGGGCTGCGTTCTCCCAGTGCAGAGGCAGGAGATGTGCCTCTTGAGATGCAAACCTGGCAGGCAGATGCAGGTTCCAAAGGCGGCAGCAGCCCACGACCATCACAGGGACATGATATGGAACCAGCCACAAAAGCATTTCTCTGTAGACCCTCATTCACTAGGCCTTAGTGCCTTCCCAAGGATCTTTACGGTCCCAAAGGCCCCATTTGCAAATGCAGCCCTCCTGTTGGTTTTCCTGCCTCTCTCTGTAAGCACTCAACAAACCAGCCCTTCCACCCTGTGCCTCCTGCCAGCGTGGTGGGGATGGTGGAGCAACTCCAGAAGGAAGCAGCTGGTACCAGGCAGGCTTTCAATCAAGTAATCGATAGGGATAGCAATTAAAGAACCTTTGTAAAGGTTCTTTCCTGAAAAATAGCCAACTCAGACAATGGACTCTTATGGCACCCAGTAGGTGAATTGGGGAAACTCTGGCTAATCAAGTATTCCATTCATAGAGAGTTATCCTAGGGATCACTAGTTTTCAAAAAATGGAAGTATTAAAAAAAATACTTAACACAAAAATACCCTACTCAACCTACTTTAATTTTTATGGTTGAAATTCTCTTCTTCCTTCAAAATTTAACTCAGATGCTACTTCCGTGAAAACTTCCTCCAGTGAAGCTCATTTTAATAAAGTGCCCGCTCTGTGGCAAACACTGTGCTAGACGCAGGGAACACAAGCTCAAAATTAAAAGCAGTCCTTGACCCCAGTGAGCCTCCAGTCGATCCTGGGGAATGATATGTACAAATAATATGTGAAGTTAACCTAAAGCAGCGGGACAGGCAGCCTGGGGCAGTGATGGATGGAGAAGCCAGCGCCTGGGAGTCAGGACCACCTGGGAGTCAAGGCCTTCTTTTGCTGAATTCTTACAATGTGACCTGGGAGAGTAGTTTAACCTCCTGGTGCCTCAGGCAACTCTCTAAATTACAGGAAAAGGGATTCTGATTCCCAGTCAGAGAAGATCCTCAGGAGGAGCTTCCTACCTGGATGAAATCAGAGGTCCAACAAAACAGGCAGCTGGTGAGGAAGGGATAACAAGGGGGAAGGTCAGGAGAGAGCTTGAGGAGGAGGTGCTGTCTGACCAGAACCTGGAAGGCAGCTGAGGATGCCGACAGGCAGAGGGGAGAAGGGAGAGCGTCACAAGCACGGGGGAGACCTGTACAAAATCAGGGAAGCACAGGATGGAACGTTACGGATTGGAACCAGAAAGTAGGTCAGTTTGGTTGGAATATAGGGCACTATGGGGGGGGGGGGTAACAGGGAAAACAGTCTAGAAAACTGATTGGAACCAGAACGTGAATGATTTTATCTGCCAGCTGAGGAGTTTAGATCTTTATCCAGACGATAGGGAACTCCTTACTCAAGTTCATTAAGCTGGGAGTGGCATTTCAGATGTATGCTCTAGAGATATTAATTTTGCTGCTGGGAGGAGGATAGATCACAGAGAGACTGAAGGCAGGGTGACTAATAAGGAGCCTATTGCAACAGTATGGGCAGGAGGTAAGAGCCTGAATGTGAGTGGCCACGTGAATGCAAGAGATGTTATGGAAACAGAATAGACATGGCAACCAATTTGTTATGGAAAAGGGAGGAGGGAAAGGAAAGAATTAGGCATGACGAGGGGCAGCGAGGTGGTGTGGTGGATAGAGCTCCAGCCTTGGAGTCAGGAGAACCTGAATTCAAATCTGACCTCAGACACTTAACATTTACTAGCTGTATGACCCTGGGCAAGTCACTTAACCCTGATTGCCTCACCAAAAAGCAAAAAAAAAAAAAAAGAATGTAGAATTAGGCATAAGTGAGTATGGGAACCTGGGTGACTGGAGATATTGGGAAGAAGGAGTGTGTTTAGGGGGAAAGAAAATGAATTCTGTTTTGGACGTGTTGAGTTTGAGTTAATGGGATATCCAGGTGGAAATGTCTGCAGAAAGTTTTCCCAGAGTACTTTGTCTGGATCTCATTTTCCCCTCTATCACACTATACCTTGTTCTTACTCCTGTTTTTATCACACCCCTCCTATTAGAACATAAGTCCCTTGAAGGCAAAGATTGCCATTTCTCATCTTTGCATTCCCTAGGACTAGCATATGGTAAGTGCTTAATAAAAAGGATTATAGACTGAGCCAGAAGGAAACATGGAGGCCATCTAATCCACCTCCTTGTGTTTTAGATGAGGAGACTGAAGCCCAGGATAAACAGATAGGTGACTTGACCTGGGATATCTCTGGCTTAGACTATCACAACAGCCTTCTAACTGGTCTCTCTGCCTCTCTCAACTATCTCTTCATTTCAGTCCATCCTCCACTCAGCTGCCACTGCCAAGCTGATTTTCTAAAATGTATGTCTGACAGATATGGGAGGTACCCTGTTCAAGGGCCTGCAACGACTCCTCAATATCTCCCAGACCAAATATGATGTCTTCCCTTTAACATTTAAAGTTCTCCTTAACTTGGTCCCTTCTTACTTCTCCAGGCTTCTTATACCTTAACTCCCCTCCACACCCTCTCTGATCCAACTTCAGTAGCTTACTCGCTGTTCTAGAACATGTTTCTCCAACTCCCATCTGCACCTTCCTACTGGCTGTCTATACCGTACTGCCCTGGAATGCACAGCCCCCTCAACTCTGACTCAGTTTCCTCACCTCCCTTCAGGATTAAGCTTAAAGCCAACCTTCTATAGGAAGCCTTTCCCAGACCTCCCAACTACCAATGCCTACCCTTCTGAGATTATCTCTCATCTATTCTATTCATCTATCCATCCATCCATCCATCCATCCATCCATCCATCCATCCATCCATCCATCTCTTGTATGTACCTAATTATTTATATGTTGTCTACTCCATTAGAATATGAGCTCCTTAAAGAAAGGAATTGTTTTTGCCTTTATTTGTACTCCCAGTGCTTAGCACAATGCCTGGCACTTAGTAAGCATTTGATAAATGTTTGTTGACTTGACTTACTAGTCCTAAGTGGAAAAGCCAGGATTTGAACCCAGGTGCTCAAGCTCCAAATACAACAGTCTTTCCACTACAGTAGTTACCTCCTGTTGTTTTTTTTAATTGAATTGAATGTTTGCTTAGTTGCAGACAGACACTTCAGGATCTTACAGTACCTATTATCATCCTGACCATCAATTGGCATTGTATTGCAGATTTGCAGAAGACTTGAATAACAGAGAAAGTGTCAAATGAACAAGATTTTTAAAAGCAACCAACTGTATCTTTACTTATTATTATTTCAAATCATTCAAAGGGAATAACTCTGATTTTCTTCGTGTGGAAAAACATAACTTCTCCAGATCAGTGGGAGGGCATGCCATAAATTATCATTGACTAGCACTTTGAGGCCTGTTTTACTCATTTGTCATTCCTTAATACTATTTTCCCTGGCAGGTGAGGTGTACAGCTTTTTCTTTCATCAATCCTTCCCTCTGCTACCTGGGGAGGTACCAAATCAGAAAAATTATTAATGTCTTAAAAATACAAGACCACTTACCAGGTCGGTAAAAGCTTTCCTATGGAAATCTCCAATGGGAACTTTCTCCAAAGAAGCTTGTCTGAGTTTCTGAGTTCTGATGGACTGTTTGAAAAGACTATCAAGCCAGCAGTCTGGGGAAAAAAATAAACAGAAATGAAAAGCTATTTAAGAAACCAGTGAAGTAATGCTGAAAAGAAAATTAGGAGTTTTCACTTACTAAATATTGTGTAAACACACTCATTTAGAATCCATTATTAACATACTTGGTTCTTTTTGCTCAAAGCAATCAGCATGCAGAAGAAGATCCAAAATGATTCTCAGCTGGCATTCAGGAGTGTAGCCCTCTTTAGAAAGGTTAATCTTGACAAACACTTTTGTGGAACACCTGAAGGCTGGCGCAAAGCACTGGCTGAAGAGACAACATTGATTTTACAGATGAGAAAAACCGAAGCAGTCAGGATACTACTGGGCCAATGGCCCCAAGGGGAGCTGAGGCAGACTTCATTCTCAGGAATTCTGAACTTAACTAAGGAGCTCTAACAATTAAGACATAGTTCCCCATCAGCCTCCAGAATGAACGCTTGGGAGTTTCCCTAATTAATTGCAAACTTTTATCTCAAAGTGTCTTTTTTTACTACCATGCTAGTAATTAGTATACAGCAGATAGAATAGAGACCACTTTCCAAAGCAAAAGCCACATCTAATTCTCCATAAAAGACTATTAATCTAGCAGTATTTGTCTGGTGAATATAGACAATCTCAGAAATTCTGTCAAAGACTTATCTACGAAAAACAATTAGAGATTTGAATATCCAGCTGACAATTAGAATCAATCAATAAGCATTTATTAAATGCCTACTAAGAGCCAGAACTGCACTAGGCACTAGGGACATATATATAAAGGATGAAACAATCCTCACTCTCTGCGAATTTATATTCTAAAGGAAGAGACAGCACGTATATGTACAGAATAAATATAAAGAGAATAAATGCAAGGGAGTTACATATAAAGTAATTAGGCAGATTTTGCTTTTCTTGTTTCTCAGTGGGTGAGGGAGGGGGAACTGGGATGGAGAGGATTTGCAAATGAAGATAAAATAAAAGTTAAAAAAAAATAGGGAGGGAAGGATTTGACCTTGTAGATGTCACCAGATTTGGTGGTATGAAATCCATGACTGCACTTTGGTTCTGGGTGGGTTTGTCTGATTCAAAAGAAATAGGATAGATACGGTTGCATTGTAGTAAGAAGTCATGAGGACATCCAGGAGCCAAAGAAAGGGAGAGAAAGTATGACAGAAAGTATTTGGATGAAGGTCAATGGAGGGCGAAAGAGAAGCGATTTTGTCATGGAGTACACTGTGGAGCACCTGGCCAGAAAGAGGAATTAGATAAGGGGTTTGGGGAAAGCACAAGGGGATGATATAATGATGATTGGAAGCAGGGGTTTCAAATTATCCAGACAGCTGCTGTAACTCTCCCTCTCTACCCAAAACAGAGTAGCTAATGACCAGTAAGAGAAAATTCTATCCCGGGTCTCACTAACAGAGAAGATGTTGTGGGGGCAGAAATGTTGGGAACTCCAGCAGAGGGTGACCAGCTCCTTGCCATACCTTGTAATAAAGACGGGAAATCTAGACAGAGGCTGATGTGCACCCTAGACTTTGGAAGAGCAGATCCTCAAGGGTTCAGAGGACAGATAGGTGGGATCCCATAAACTAAAATGCTACAGGGGGTCAGCCTGGGAGAAAGAGGAGAAGTTCTGGAGTCACCAAAGGAAAATCAGGTCAATGAAGAAGAAAAATGGGATCTATCTGAAGAAAGTGATGTTGATCCACAGAAATCCCCTCAGCCAACTCTAATTTTAAAAGGAATTGTTGGGGGCAGAGCCAAGATGGCAGAGTGAAAGCAATGACTTGCTTGAGCTCTCCCCAAACCCCTCCAAATACTCATAAAAAATGGCTCTAAACAAATTCTGAAGCAGCAGAACCCACAAAAAGACAGAGTGAAACAAATTTCCAGCCCAAGACCACCTGGATGATTGATCAGAAAGGTGTATCGTGCTAGGCTGGGAGCAGAGCGTGGGCACGCAGGCCGCAGCAAACCTCAGAGGCCTCAGAGGACTGAATCGCAGGCAGCTGTGGAGGTTTCCAGACTCCTCAATCCACAAATGCCAAAGACAACTTAGAAGGTCAGTGGGAAAAGTCTGTTTCTGTCGGTGGTCAGAGAGGAAGGTGGGGTTTCAGCTCCATTCCCCAAGAGCCTGGCCCTGGGCAGGGCAGCTGCTTCCCAAGCCTCCGGCCCACACACTGAGGGGGAATCCAGTGGCTGATCAGAGAGGGACTGCAGGGATCTCTTTGCCAGTGCTGAGGCAGGAATCTCTTGCTTTGCCCGTGTGTGGATCTGGGTCACAGTTCTGAGCGGCAGTGCTGGGGTGAGGAGGAGCACTGGCGTGGTAGAGCTTATAGTGGCTATGGAGAGAAACCCCTCCTCACAGTTACAGGACAGAAAGGAATACTTGTGGTCACGGGCCAGGAAAGGAGTAAACACCTCGCCCCTTATCATACCACCTTGGAAAAACTGAAAATTTACAGGTCCCTACAAGTATCTCTGAAAACAGCTACACAAACCCCTGAAGCTTGGGAAAGTACACTCTCCACATTGGAAGCAGACTCTTACCTTAACAAAGAGTTTAAAACTCAAGTAATTGGCTGGGATCATGAGCAAGCAGCGCAAAAAGAGTCAGACTATATTATCTTACTTTGGTGAAAAAGAAGATCAAAATATACAACCAGAAGAAAACAACAAAATCAAAGCTCCTACATCCAAAGCCTCCAAGAAAAATATGAATCAGTCCCAGGCCTTGGAAGAGCTCAAAAGGGATTTTGAGAAGCAAGTAAGGGAAGTAGAGGAAAAACTGGGAAGAGAAATGAGAGTGATGCAAGAAAATCATGAAAAACAAGTCAACAGCTTGCTAAAGGAGACCCAAAAAAATACTGAAGAAAATAACACCTTAAAAAACAGCCTAACCCAAATGGCAAAAGAGGTCCAAAAAGCCAATGAGAAGAAAAATGCCCTAAAAAGAAAAATTGGCCAAAGGGAAAAGGAAGTCCAAAAGATTACTGAAGAAAATACTTCCTTAAAAATTAGAATAGAGCAATTGGAAGATAGTGACTTTATGAGAAATCAAGACACTGTAAAACAAATCCAAAAGAATGAAAAATAGAAGACAATGTGAAATATCTCACTGGAAAAACAACTGACCTGGAAAATAGATCCAGGAGAGAGAATTTAAAAATTATTGACTATATGAAAGCCATGATCAAAAAAAAGAGCCTAGACATCATCTTTCAAGAAATGATCAAGGAAAACTGCCTTGATATAATAGAACCAGAGGGCAAAATAGACATTTAAAGGATCCACAGATCTCCTCCTGAAAGAGATCCCCAAAGGAAAACTCCGAGGAATATTATAGCCAAATTCCAGAGTTCCCAGGTCAAGGAGAAAATATTACAAGCTGCCAGAAGGAAACAATTCAAGTACTGTGGAAACACAATCAGGATAACACAAGATTTAGCAGCTTCTACATTAAAGGACCTCAGGGCATGGAATATAATATTCCAGAGGGCAAAGGAGATAGGATTACAACCAAGAATCACCTACCCAGCAAAACTGAGTATAATCCTTCAGGGGAAAAAGTAGTCATTCAGTGAAATAGAGGACTTTCAAGCATTCCTAATGAAAAGACCAGAGCTAAACAGAAAATCTAACTTTCAAAGACAGGACTCCAGTGGAACATGAAGAGGTAAACAGGAAAGAGAAATCATAAGAGACTTATTAAGATTGAACTGTTTACATTCCTGCATGGAAAGATGATATTTGTAACTCATGAGAACTTTGTCAGTATTAGGGTAGTTGAAGGAAAAAAATTGTATGTATATATATAGATAGATAGAGGGCACAGGGTGAGTTGAAGATTAAGGGGTCATATCATTAAGGGATGAGAGAGGATGATACTCGGAGAAGAAAGGGAGAGGTAGAATGGGGTAAATTATCTCACAAAAAAAAACCACAGAAAAGAAAAGTCTCTCACAGTGGAGGGGAAACAGGGGAAGGTGAGAGGGAATGAGGGAATCTTATTCTCATAGGATTTGGCTTAAGGAGAGAATAACATACACATTCAATTGGGTATGGAAATCTGTCTTACCCTACAGGAAAATAGGGGGAGAAGGGGACAAGAGAGCAGGGGGTGATAGAGAGGAGGGCAGATTGGGAAAGAGGGTAATCAGAAGCAAATACTTCTGAGGAGGGACAGGGTCAAAAGAAAGAATAGAATAAATGGGAGGGCAGGATAGGATTAAGGGAAATAGAGTTAGTTTTTCACAACATGTCTACTAAGGAAGTGTTTTGCATAACTGCACATATACAACCTATATTGAGTTGCTTGCCTTTTCAATGAGGGTGGGTGGGGAGGGAGGAAGGGAGAAAATTTGGAACTCAAAGTTTTAAAAACACATGTTTTACAAAAATGTTTTCACATGCAACTGGGAAATAAGAAATACAGGAAATGGGGTACAGAAGTCTATCCTGCTCTACAGGAAAATAGAAGGGGAAGGGGATAAGAGAAGGGAGGGGGGAGAGATAGAAGAGAAGGCAGACCAGGGAAGGGGTATTCAGAATGCATGCCATCTTGGGGTGGGGGGAGGGGTGAGAAATTTGGAACTCAAAAGCTTGTGGAAGTGAATATTGAAAACTAAAAATAAATAAATTTATACGAAAGAGAAAAAATTTTTAAAAAAAGGAATTGTTCAGAAGATGAAACCAAGACCAGGTAACAGAGGTCTGTGAAAACACTATTAGGGCACTAAATCTCAGGGCATCCAGAGGCTGAGGCATGCATTTAGGGTTAGGGTTAGACAGGTTCCCCCCTCCCCCCAATTCCCTCAATCACAGTTCTCAGTAAGCTCAGTCTCAAAGTCTTCCCTCATTCCTCCAATTACCATTATTTTCTCTTTTTCTTTCTTCAAAAGCTGAAGATTTCATCCAGCTCCTAGCTTTCTGGCCTAAATCTCAGATCTAGAGCAAATCTGTGTGGGCCTTTCCCTGCCTTCTCATTCCCAGGTTTAGGAGGGAAACTAATAGTTTAGTTTGGGCCATGTTGAGTTTGAAGAGCCAGTGTGACATCCAGATGGAGATGTCCTATGGGCGACTGGGGATGTGAGACCGCAGCTCAGAAAAGAGATCAGGCCTGTCTAGACAGGTTTAGAAATCATCTGCTTGGATGTGGCGATAGAAGTCAGGTGAGTGAACGAGATTGCCAAGGGGAAGATTGTTGAGAGAGAAGACAACCAAATCAGACCCCTGAAAAACACCTCTGCTATATGAAAAAATGCTCTAAATCATTATCGATTA